GGCCCGGCTGTCGGGGTCCGCTCCCGCTCGCCCTTCTCTCGCCGCCGCCGCCGGTCCCCGGCACCAAAACCCGGACTGGATTCCCGCCGAGCGCGGCTGCGCCGGGCGCTGCGTGGGGCCGCGCCGCCTCCGCCCGCAGCCGCGGAGAGAGAGAGAGGGAGAGACAGAGGGAGGGGGGTTCCCCTGCGGAGCGGGCCCCGCCGCTCGCCGCCTCGGCACCGGGGGCAGCGGGGGGCGGCACGGCCCCTCCGCACCCCCCCAGCCCGGTTCAACGGCAGCGGGACGGGCCGCCCCACGGCCGGGGCCTGGGGGAGATGAGATGGTTTCACCTCTCCCGCCTGATCCTCAAGGGAAAAAAGACCCTGGAACTTTAGGAAAAAAAAAAAAAAAAAAGGCTGAGGAGAGACTGGGTTTCTGGGGTTTTTTGATTTTTCTTTTTTTGAGATGAAATACTGAAGTGGAGCTATCTACAGCCTGCCGAGGAGAAAACTATCCAGGATGGTTTGGGAAATATTTTCCTGTCTAAATTTCTGTGCTCTAAGCTTTAAAATACCTACCTTCCTGTAAAGGTTTTTAAATGCAAGTAGTTTCCAAGCAGAGTTTTAAGCTTTTGCAGTCACTGGTGAGATTTATTCGTGGTGAGACACTGGCCCAGGCTGCCCAGAGAAGCTGTGGCTGCCCCATCCCTGGAGGGGTTCAAGGCCAGGCTGGATGGGGCTTGGAGCAACCTGGTCTGGTGGGAGGTGTCCCTGCCCAGGGCAGGGGGTTGGGACTCCATGATCTTTGAGGTCCCTTCCAACCCAAACCATTCTATGATTTATTAAAGCCTCCCAAGACCGAGTTGTACTTCAGGTTGGCCACGTGCTTTTCCTACCTAACCTCTTCCTCTACAAACAAGTTGTAAGTTTGCATTCACATGTCATTTTTGAGCCGTATATTTATTCTTTTCCATTTGCAAGTGAATGGCAGGAATTCCCTCTTTGGTGCCTTTCTCCTGCTCTGGAGACAGGCCGAAGGGCTCACGGACACGCGGTGCGGCAGCACGGGGCCAGGCTTCACCTCTAACGCTGGGTTAACCTGTCCCTGCCAAACAGTAGTGATATTTATTCATGCAAATGATACTTATTCAGATAAAAACTAGTGATATTTATTCATACAAAGTGTATGAAAGAAATTATAGTCAAGACAGCACTCATTCGTAAATAAATAATGAATTTACTTTTCCTGTCCAACTATAGAATTTGTTTCAACTTCCTCAACCCAGCTCCATAAACCAGTTGTTTTCGTTCATTCTTTCAAGATTTCCAAGAAATCCAAGTTTTCCAAGATCCGCAACGGAATCGCTCACAAGTTCCAGCGGATCGTCTTCCAGCAGGATTCCCCCACACCTCCAAAAGTGGTGTTTCCAGAGGTTTTTTGGCAGCTTGGCTCTGGGCACTGGAAGGTCGCTGCAGCCCATCCCGTGGGTCAACAGCAGCCACAGCCCCCGCGACGCAGCCCCAACACACCCGGCTTTTGTCTGGGCCAGTCATTGCTTTTGGAAGCTGATGTGGCATAAAGGATAGATCTGTGGAAGGAAAAAAAAAAAAGAATAATTGCTTTTTGAGTTTTATTTCTAAACTGAGTGTTCAGAATGAAGGTTTAGATTTGTCAAAATGTTCTGCTTCAGTTTTGCCTTGAATCACAGAATCACAGAATCTTCTAGGTTGGAAGGGACCTTAAAGATCATCTTGTCCAGCCGTCAACCTAATTTTGACAAAAATAAACACCCACACAACAAACAAGGAGCATCATCACTAAACCAGACCTCCCAGCACTACATCAACCCGTCTTTTGAACACCTCCAGGGATGGGGCCTCAACCACCTCCCTGGGCAGCCCATTCCAATGTTTGATAACCCTTTCAGTGAAAAAATTTTTCCTAATATCCAGCCTGAACCTCCCCTGGCGCAACTTGAGGCCATTTCCTCTCGTCCTGTCGCCTGGGACTTGGGAGAAGAGACCGACCCCCACCTCTCTACACCCTCCTTTCATGAATTCTACCATGAATTTAAATGGTATTCTCAGTTCCTTCATACTTATACCATACTAGGGCATAGAAATGGAATAATTAAAATACCTCCTAGTATTAAAATGATTTGAAATGTGTTGTATCATTTGAATACCACCTAAATCTAATTGTCATCTTTTGCAGTAGCCTGTATTCACACTTATGTGAATTATAACCACATTACTGAAAGTCCTGTTCCTGTCTGCCACGTGCTGGGATAAAGGTTCCGAGACTTCCTTGAGGTTTTCCAAGATCTGTATGTTTTAATCGTAGCAAGAATAGAACCAAAATTAGAAATTACGTACACGGGGTGCGCTATCCCTGAATTGGATGAACACCACAATGACAGAGTGGAGCCCAAAGGATCTCTTGTAGGAAATGGTGATGACCAAGGACAGCCAGGCTTGCACAGACCTGTCTGTCCACTCCCACCACACTCCAGCCCTTCTCTGAACTCTGTACTCAGCCCTCTCCTCACGTTAACTCCACCACCGACCGTAAGACACAGCTGACTTGACGCCTTTTGCCCCCAGGTTTTGGTAAGTGAACATAAAAGCCGAGATTTTTAGCCCATCGTCCAGCTTTTAGTAGTCAGTTTCCAAAATTCCCAGCTGGGTTCTGTGGTTTGGGAGCACGGTGTCAGGAAGCAGAGAAGAGAGAGAGGATCAGAGAGGTTCTTAGGGACACACAAAACAGCCCAGGCCTGCCCGCAGGAGGCTGCTCCTCAGCTCTCACAGCACAGCAGGGCAGCCCTGCAAAAGGGTGTTGGAGGAAGAGCGTAACCAAATTCTGGTGGAGGGAGGAAAAATGGTTTTTGGGATGAGGAGGGAGAAGGAATAGCAGTCTGGAGGTCTTCCTGGGTGACCCCGGGAAGGGGTTTAGAGAAGAATACTGACTTTTGATTAGTAATCTGAGCTGCTAATGCTTTTTACTCCTGCTGGGTTATCAAATGCAATGAGAAGCCAGTGTTGACAACTCTACAACAGATTGGTTAAAGATTTCTAGCACTTCCCAGGCAAGCCAGATTGGAGCTGCAGTAAGAATAACTTCTCTCACAGTATTTGATACAAACAAAAGATAGAAATGACTGTTTGCTTCGTTTCTTCCAGTCGGGCTGACTTGCAGTATGAACGGAGCTGAAGCTGAACCCATATTGCCCTTTCAGCCCTTCCCAGGGGAGTTAAATTATGGAGACAGTTTTTTAAGGATAGCCAGGGACTCCTGGATACAGCCCTCTGTAGCACCTTCACGTTCACAGATACTCAGGGAGTCAAGCACAAGCCATAAGCCCCTATTATCCATCAATATTTTCCCCTTGAGACTCAGTCTTAGCACTCTTGGGGTGAACTGCTGAATAATTCTGGCCCACAGCCACGTCCTGACATGGAGTGAATTCTTGTGCTACACGGGGCACTGTGGTAACACTCAGCCACACAGAGAGCTCTCACCATTGCACTACAGAGTAACACGCCTCGAACGAAAGGACAGGCTCTGGCTGTAATAACAACTGTTTACATGTCAATGATTTCCAAGCTTATTAAAAGTTACTGTGCACGTTCAACACTCCCTTTGTGTATACAGCTCTCCAACACACAAGTGCTTCAGATGCTTCTTTGCCTCTAACTTTAGCAATCAGTTCATATTTCCAAAAAAGAAATGTCTCTCTCTCTAAGAACACAAGACAACTCAAATGCTAAGTAGATAGAAGTGTATGTATCTTCCTCAAGAAGTTCTTCTAGAATAACCTATAAAGATGAATTACAGTGACAGCTTTGCAGTTCATCTTGAATAATTGCTGTCTAAACTCTTTCTGTAAATCCACTGGGCAGTTCTGTGCAAGAGCAACAGAAAAAAAAAGTCTAGCTTTCCCTGGCCCTGCTGTAACTAGTCTATACTGATTCACGTCTGGTGGAGGTTTTTTATGATACATACTTTTCCCAAACATTTTATACAGTCCATCTCTAAGTTAAGTACTCCTCTCACTTTCAATATAATTATTTACTGATCTGTTTGACATGTTGTTCCATTTAGCTGCTGCTACTTCATCCTGTGATCATGACTGCAGGCAAAGCTTGTCTGACACCACCTTGGGCAAAGAGCCCCTTTTGCTTCCAAAAGTGGAGATTCTTCCCCGACGCTCGGGGAGGCACCGCCCTGTAATCACCTCATGCTGGTCCCAGAGCTGCTTCCATCAGCACCCATCACTCACCAACACAGCTCCCAGCACTGACAAGCACTAGTCATGGCCAACAAGCACTAGTCATGGCTAACAAGCACTAGTCATGGCTAACAAGCACTAGTCATGGCCAACAAGCACTAGTCATGGCCAACAAGCACTAGTAAAGTTGTGCTTCATGTATCCTCAGGCGGATACATTGACTGCAGCGTGCATTTTGCTGGACCACCCACAATCCCACCTTGGCTAGCTCTCCTTTTCTTCCTCTTCTTCTCCTTCTTATTTTCTGATATGCCTGCAAGGAAATAATATATTTCTTGATTTATTTTCTTTAGTCTCCTGAGTACTTTTTCCCCTTGCCCACAAATGCCAGCATTTTTTCACTAGAGCAAGATCCCCCCTGCTCCTACCTCGTCCCAAAATCAGCCTTTAAAACTCAAAGGGAACAAAGAAACCCTCAATGTTCTGTGCATTTAATCACCACATTCTTTTTAAATGTAACCTGCTCGAGTAGTTGCTCACTTTTCACTTTTTAGTGTGCTGCAAATGTATTTGTTTGAGCTTTAGTCTTCCAACCAGGAGGCGCGGTGCCCATGTGTGTGTTCCACTTCTCTCACAATCCCAGGCATTTTGAGCCCCTGCCAACTCCTTTTATTTGGGGACCTGCCTCCTCCACACCCCCTGTGTAAACTTTGCATTTGTTTTGCTTTATAGCGATCACTGAAGTTCTCAGTCCAGCTGGGAGGACAGTCAGGCACCTTCAAGAACAAGGGAATGATTGACAATATTAGGCAGAAAATCGTCCACCAGATGCTGCTCCAAAGGAGAGGTGGCAACCTCCTGACCCCCTTCTCAGTGAGGGGAACCGTCGCTCCTGTGACGTGCCTCTGCCCCACATGCCTCTGCCCCACTCCTCAACCCAGCAGGGAGCACGAGGTCACCCCTGTGCCTGGCTGCTGAGCAGCCAAATGCCACCCCGCAGGCCAGGCTGTGCCTTCCACTTGGGGGACGATCCAGGGCCACCCCTGTGTTGGAACGAAGCATCGGCACGATGCATCAGCCACCAAGGCATTACTCTTCCCAGTTACTGCTCCCAAACATTTCCTAGTTCTGAATAATCTTACTGGTACGGAGAGGAGTTCCAGATAGTCCGTCCTCAGACTGTGAGAGCATGGACATCAGCCAGAATGCACGGCCTTTTTTTTAAAAAAACCCTCCCCAAACAACAGTTTTGCCACTGTCCAGAAGTAATTTCATGCAACTTACATGTTTATGTCTCTTCAAAGGTGTTGCTTCCCAGAAAAACAGCTCAGCTCCTTGGAGTTTCATGCTACTGCTGATACGATGACACTTCCCCTTTTTACAAATCCACTAGTCTGAGAAAGACAAAGGGATGGATTTGAAAAAAGTAAGGCTAACATTTTTCTGCTTAATTACCCAGAGCAAACCCTGGGCGGGGGG